AACCTACTGTAAAGGTCATTACAAAGAAACCAACCCGTCATACATTTAAGTTATTTTAGCTTTCCATTTACGGGTGAAATATGTTACGATTTATGTCTCTCTGTAGTCTTGGAATCTGTTCTCGGATTCCCCAGAATTCCCAAATTCCAACTAATATGGTGCTCAAAGCAATTACTCTAACTTATAGATTATATCATACAAATTTTTCCCAATTTATTTATTTATTTATTTATTTTTCGATTTGTATTTATAAATTTGAGCAAAATATATTCAGCATCACATTTGTTCTTCAACTTACGGAGTCTTTCCCATTCGTAGAAAAATAGGAGACATATATGTCAACTACACTGGTAGAAGGAGTCCCATATACCACCTACTCTGGCGTTTTATGTAATTATTATAGGGTAAAACAACTGCGTTGCTGTAAATTTTGGTTATGTTAGGATTATCTTGGTGAATATGATATTTGCTTTAATAATGAAGAAATCCCATATTTCAACTACTCTGGTAGAAGAAGTCCCATATTCCACCTACTCTGGTATTCAAAGTAATTATTCTAGATAAAACTCAAGTCAACTGCGTTGTTCTAAATTTATGTGATATTTGGATTCTCTTGGTGAATATGATATGATCTTTTACTAAATCTGGGAGTAATGTTCTATATGTATTAAGAGGTTCGCCAAAATGGATTCCTATTTTTTCCTAAAAAATCAATAATTTTCTCAATTTATTTTCTCAGTTTTTTTTTGTAACATAAAATATTCTAACCATTTTATATAAAAAAAATATTCTAACCACTTTATATAAAAAAAATATTCTAACCATTTTATATAAAAAAACTCTTTTAGCAAAAGTTACAAAGAAATCTAATCAACCATGAAAATATTATCTTTAAATAATGTGCATGTAATTGTAGCATATTTATAGGCTCCATTGATTTTTTGCCTAACATCCCTAAAGGAAGAAAACGGAAAACAAACAAAAAAATCAAATCAGAAAACGAACGAAAAAGAATATTTCGAGCAACTGACCATTAGGGAAATTTGGTAAATAACATTCATAAGGAATTGGTAATATTCTATTATTGGCTTAAGAGATAAATTAGCAGCATATTTTATAGGCTCTGTGTTATTATTGAATTTTTTCCTGTTTTTGCAGAATTGTTTTCTTCCAAACTGCTTTTTCTGGTAGAATTTTCTTCTACTATGAACCTAGGGGGAAAAAGAAACTTGGTTATGCCACTCGTTAGTTGAATTGTTTACTGGTCCTTCCTTTGCACATCATTTCATTTCAGTTTTTTGCAACATTCATTTCTCCTCCTTTTGGTAACACAACATTGTATGTATGTGTGTGTCTGAAACTATGAATAGCTTTGATGTAAAGATATTTCATTAAGACTGCTTGACCGTTTGTTTATTTTCTTAACACACAAGTGTCCAAATAGAATTTCCAGATTTACCATGTCCATGCCCTTCAGGTTCCCATGATGAAATGAGAAATTCTTTGATAACAAACCAGCAGCAACAACAAAAAATGTGATGATGAAACTAAGATGAAGAACTTGTAATTGACATTCTAAGCATAAAGGAACACCAGAGCAACACCAACTACAAACAAAATAGTTATATAAAGGAAATAAGCATCAGCTTTTCTATTACAACATGGAAAGATGTAAATATTCAATGGTCAGTTTGAAGAAATTTAAGCTAAGAAATCTTGAGGAAATATTTTTTTGTTGTTAGAAAACTGTTTTCTATGAAAGGACTATGAATTTTTTTCTCCATATTAGAATAGGTTTACTCATTTGTAGACAAAAAAAAAAAAAAAATAATTTCCGCTTCATATTTAAAGTCATTCGTCACTCTATGAAGTTGTTCATTAAAATTACAGAATTCCCATATTTCACCTACTATAGTGCTCAGTGGATTATTTTAGAATGATTTGTGAAATATCTATCTTAATTTAAATTATGTTAGTATTCTACTTTCGAATATTTTCAAAACATGTTCAGCTTTATATTTAAATATGTTCGTTGATCTATGAACTCGGTATCAAATAACTCACTGCTTCCATATTTCACCTACTATGGAGTACAAAGTCATTATTTTTTTTAAATACAGTTTAGATAAAAAAGGCTTTTCAGAATCCCTTGTGTATATATAATAAAAGTTATGTTTTTGGAAAATTGTCTTTCACCTACATACTCGTTAGTATATGACTCACATATTCCACCTACTACGCTGTTCAAAAGTAATTATTTTATAATACTCTTTATGATCTATAAACTCTATGGAGTTTATGTATCTCATGGATAACAATTCGAAGTCAGAGGTTTTTAAATGTCATAAAATTCGTATTCCAGCTACATATATGAAGTCATTCAGTAATAATCCAGAACATCCATACTCCACCTACTATGACGATAAAAAAATATTCATCAATGCCACATTCCACCTACAGCAATTTTGTGGAGTAATCAGTTGATCTCTGTAAATATTATTTTAATCGTTTCGCCAAAATTGTTTTTATCATTTCATATTCTTCCGAATTCCCACATTCCGCCTACTATATACTGACTCGAAACAATTATTCTATAGTAAAAATTAGATCATTTACATTGTTCAAAATATGTGATATGACATCGATATACCTATTTATTCTTTTGAGCCTTATAAAGATTCTCACAAAAACAACAAATTATTGTGTCTGATCGAGCACCCATATTCCACCTACTACATCACATAACATGCTTTATTTGTCAGTCAAAAGATTTTCCATAGTCCTTTTTAATTATCTTATTATCTCGAACTCCCACATTCAACCTACTAAGAAAGCACTGTAATGAGATTGTCTATTTCAGCTAATTATATGAAGTCGTTCAGTAATAGTCCAGAATGCCCATATTCCACCTACCATAGTGTTGCAAGGACTTTTTTATAATAACCCTTTTATACTATATAAGGATTGTCCGTTTTCAAGGCTTCATATATTATGTTCTCTAATAATCAAGAACTCTCATATTCTACCTACTATGTGGTGGTTGTAGCAATTATTTCTGTGTAACCTTTGTATCAAAGGAGGATATGTTATTGGAAAGTCGTCTATTAGGTTCATGTCTGAAGTAATTCTTTAGTCTACTATTCCCATATTACACCTATTATGTTGTGGAAGGTAGTTATTTTAGAATAACTTTTATATCAGAAAAGAATATATAGATTCTCGGGAATAAGCATTAAAGTAAGGGTTTGGAAAATCGTATTTCAGCTTCATATAGGGAGTTGTTCCCTAATAACTCAGATCTCCCATATTTCAACCACTATGGCCATCAAGTAGGTGGAATGTGAGAGTTCGGAATTATTAGCGAAAAATGACGTATTTTACTTTACGTACTTTACTTTAATGCTTATCGCCGATAACCTAAAACATTTTTTATGATTCTAAAATAATTACTTTCCACACCATAATAGGAGGAATATGGGAATCATAGACTAACGAACGACTTCATATATGAAGCTGAATTACGATAACCTTACTTTGATACCATAAACAAGTGAGAACTCTTGCTGTGAGATAGAGGTTCCTCGAAAATAATAACCTCGAAGACGATAGTAGGTGGAATATGAGAGTTCTTGATTGTTGGGGTACAACAGCCAAAAATCCTACTTTGAGGTTTTAAAACATATAATTTCTATAAAATGTCCATTTACTTTATATTTAAAATATATTAAATGCTTTATTATTAAATGAATCCCATAATATTTTAGTTTTGTACATACAACCTAGCTTTTTTGTTATCTTTATTGTTAATAAATAATAAAATTGTTCTTTCTCAATTTAAATAAATAATAAAAGTTATTTTTTTATGATCATAAAATACTTCAAATGATTTTCCTAAGAATAAATTAAAATATTTGTCATCTTATAAATAAAAAGAATAAACAATAAACCAAATAGGCATTTTGAATATTTTCTATTGCTTAAGATGAATATTTAAGCCTAAGCCTAAAAAAAAGAGTTTAATTCAATTGTATTCACATATGTACATATATTTATAATATATTTTTCTGTCAATAATAAAAAAATGTTCATTCATTTATTTTTCTTTCTTTTCATTGCAGGCATTTCTTTTTCATAATAAATTCATAAATAACTACCAAAGATATTGTAAATTAAGTTATACAAAAATAAAACAAATCTAAAAAAATATATACATCTACATATTGCAAATTAAATGAAAACCCCAAGTTGAACAAAAGATGCAATAAAAAAGGAATTATGCCAAGAATTAGAAAAAATAGAAATTGGAAGATATAAAGCGACCACTTCAATTTGAAGATAATCTGCAAATAAAAATCATATAAAGCAGCAGCCAAACAAATAAAACTTAAATTGTATATGGCAATTGGCAACAACAAAAAAGTGGAAATATAACAATTGATATTTTGCAACTGATAACAACCTTGGCAACAAATCCAGCAAACAACAACATTAAGATAAGCCATCTTAAGAAGCAATCTAAGAAGGAGAAGAAACCAAGCCAACAATTCCCCCGAAAAATAACTAACAACAAACAGAAACAACAATTGTTGACAATGTTATAAAACCTAACATCAATGCAATTTCCATGCACATGTACAGCAACAACAACACAAACACATTTACACCATTCACATCCTCTCCACACACACACATACAGAAACCTAACGTGCAGCAATTGTGCCATACTTTGTTGTACACAACTTCCCATGTGAGCATTTAAACATTGCTTAACGATTATTATTGTCTCACACACACATACTCATACATATACCTATAACAGCTAACTGAAACTACAAACTGCCCCCACTTTGGGGCCCAAAACGCAATTGCAGTTTAGCAGCTAAAAGAGTTGCCTTAAAGATAGATAGGCTCTCTTGGAGGAAAGCAGGAAAACGCCATCATTGTCATCATCATTGTAGTCGTCGTCGTCGAGCGGCAGTAGCACCGGGAGCATTAAACACAACGGCAGCAACATGTTGCTACGACACCAACATCAGCATGGCAGCAGCATACTAATCGGATTTACATTGTTAATTTATAGCTTACAAGGATATACAAATGTTCTGGCAGTGGGTAAGTACAAATAACAACAATCATTTATTTTTGTCTTATTTGTTGAAATAATTTTATTTGTATATATTGGAGTTCTCTTGAGAAACAACAACAATATAAATTACATCTCTAGGAATGCGCCTTAGGTTAGGCCAGATATTTTGTATTGCCTAAAAGTAGGCTAATGGTTTTTTCTGTTTCTCTAAAATGAAACGAAAAAGTTTTTTCCCCTTGAAATCAAGGCAACAGGAAAATTTATTATTATGTGGAAAATTTAATTTGATAAAATGGTGATTTATTGGTACTTAGAGGGGGGTGACACAGGAGAGTGAATAATAGAAGATAGCAACAACAGGTAACAGTACACCAAAAAATCGAAACACGTAAATATGTGTACGCAATATTTCGGTCTTTCAATATGAGGTTCAAATTGCCACAGCTTCCCAAGTGTTGGTCGTAACCGGCATATGGAAGCTATACCAAAACGTGGACTTATATATTGAATGAAAAATTTCCCCCTAATGGATTTTTGATACATTGGGAGGATGACATCAACAATTCAATTAAAGGCCGATGGCCTTTAAAATGCGGAAATTGAAAGTAAACTAGGAATCTAATTAATTAACACGACATATAGTCAAGCCTCTACAGTATGAAAATAAAAGGGTTTAATGGGATTCAAAGGTAGAAAACTTATAGAGAATTTAAATTGCTGGAAGATCTTCCCTAGATCGAGAAAACAATATGCCGGATAATGGACCATTGGGTTGGAAAATATGTCTAGGACCTTCTACTTATTGATTTCTCTAAGAACAATACGGTGTTTATATGTATATAACTAGATTTTTGAGGTCCTTTCTGATCTAAAAGACTTCTGAGTTGCATACGAATTATCAATTATTTTCGCTGAGAAACCATTTAGGTCTTTTATACCTAGGCTGCATTTGAGATCATATATAGCCCGTCTATTTTTCAGGTCCGACTAGCCTGAGAAATTTTCAGGTCTACTATAGTTAGATATCATATCCGTTCTTTTTTTTAGCTAGAAGACCTCTATGACCATGAATGCAAACATTTTAAGGCCTCTCACTGTTAATCAAGACGACTTGAGAGGTCTTCAGATCACAGAAGGCCACTGAAGAGATAGAGATAGAGAAACATCGTCTTGATGGATTTTTTTTTTGATTTTCCGACCATAGAAAAGCTGAGATGTCTTCATTCCCAAACTACTTTGGCGATCTTCAGATCACAGAAGTCCACTGAGGTCTTCGATTGATGAATTTTCTGTAAGGAGTCATTTGATATCTTCCATGACAAAGGGATTTATGAAATTTTCTGTGGTTGGAAGCCCGTTATGATTTTCCTACCATAGAAAAACTGTGATGCCTGCATTCCCAAACTACTTTGGCGATGCTTTATATCAAGAAGATTTTAAGATTTTTTACGCCAAAGGGAATTCCACAATTTTTGAGGTTTTCTTCCTCTAGAAAAACTTGAAGGTATGTAAATAGATATTCCACTATAGCTCGGATATCTATGAGCTCTTTCATAACTAGATTCCCTTGGAGTATTCTATAACAATAAAATCTATGACGCCTTTACAGCTTAAATACTTCCGAGCTGATCAAAACTTTGATCTTTGAGGTCTTCTGAAGGTAAATGACCACCAATGACCGACCAATGTTTTTATAAAATGTACGCCTTATGGGATTATTTGCAAATATATTTTTAAAAAATCCACGCCTTGTTAAAATATCGATTTCTCGTCTAAAATCTTGTGATCAATATTTTTGTAGAATATTGCGAGGATGAAAAATCGCATCATGTGATCATTGCGGTCCGGTTCAATAAATAAAGGGTGTAAAGGATCCGCAAGGAATCGAGTTAGAAGCACGAAATGTTCTACAAAAAGTTCCTCATTCGATTTTACTGATTTTCAAAAAATACATACAATAGCTAATAATGAAGATAAAACTCTCTCTCTCTCTCTCTCTCCATGTATAGCAGGGTCGCAAACAAATATTGCGCCATTTATCCGTACGTTGACCTATGGCGATTTTTTTCTTTTAGAGCAGTGATGGGGATATCAAACTTGAAAATTAGTGTGGGTTAGCATAACGGAGAATTCATCATTAAAATCTACTGACGAAGAGAGAAATAAGAGAATCCGTGTTTAACCATCGAAGATCAGTTACGGTACCGTATATGGCTAAGCAGTTTCGATATACTCACCAAGGTCTTTCAACAACTATAGGAATTTTTCAACACCCTAAAATCCTGTCGCACAGTGTAATTGGAACGTTTGGTTGAAATTTTAATACATATTTTTTGTCCGATAGTGTGAATACAGTCATAAATTTCTGTGTATTTTTTTCAATTTAACGAGCAACAATTTTGACATGATTTTTATTAGCAAATACAGCCATAAACCATCAGGCATAGTATCTACCTAACGTCCAGCTGCTATATAAATATATCTATGGCAGTGATGACTAATCTGCCACCACCCTAGATATGAGTGTCCGACCACCTTCGAAAATGCCAATTTCCCCCTTTTTTCGTTAGTCTCATTTCCAGCTATAGCATTTTCTCTCGTATATAGATGAGGCCGTGGCATAGAGGAGGGTTTACTGCTTGAGTAACAATATATACAGTAGTATATATTTTTTTTATTGCCACCTATAATTTGCTGACGCCGCTTAGGCTATGAATTTCAACAAGCAAGGCGAAATGCTTTCGGAGGAATCTATAAAAAAAAGAAACATGACAAGTGCATCAGGAGACGACACACTATAGATGGATGCCAAGGGCAAATTGAAATGATTAGGTGTGCAGTAGTGGTGGTGATTTAATGAGGTAATAAAAAAGAGAGCGAATTTTTCGAGGTCCATTTATAAAAAGTATACATAGAAGAGATTTAAAATTTTCTCAAAATTTTAAATAATTTATTTGTTTAAAATTTATTGCAAAAAAATTAATATCGTTGAAATAACAAATCCAAATAAAATTCGTGCCACCATTTTGCCACTTTTGGCGCCCTTGTTTTTTTATGTTGTCTTGCACCCACATTGTCCTGCAAATTGCAATTGCTGGCTGCTTGGCTGCCTTGCTGCTGTCCCCATTGCTTTGCTATATTTAAAAGTGTTTTCCTCATTTTTTACAAGTGGCAGAAATATTTTGTCATAAATGTGTGTCATAAGACCGGGGAAATAAAAAAGAAACAACAGCATCAGAACACACTTCGACCAAGCGTGGGAGGTGAAATAAGCAAGACGAGAGGCGGTGATTGTGATATTTTTATGTTTTCATTTTTTATGCTTCTTCTGCTATTTTCCTTCTCTATTTCTTTTTTATTTCATTTCATCAATCAGTTCAGTGCGTTTTCCCGCAATGTTTTGTGTCGTTGTGTTTTTTTTTATTTGCCATCCGTACAGCTGTTTATCCGTAAGCAGTCCGGGAAATGTATTTTGTAAAGTAGCCCATCTCGCGGGTTTATTACGAATATTCGCTCTTAAGAGTGCACACACACACACGCACGCACAATTGTACACATTATGCCAGTGGCATTTAGAATGGATAAATTGGGGACATGGAGGCCAATGAGTAGTGGTGGGAGTAGATGATGCTGCTGCTGTCGTTGTATAGCCTCCGTCTAGCGGGTATATGAATGCGTGTGGCGCCACAAGCATTATTGTGTAAAATACAGCAATGGAACTTCGGGGTGTTGATGTCGGCACTTTGTTGTTGCTTGCTTGCTCGCTGTTGCTGTCGTTCTTAATTTGCTTGTATGGGTATTGTGTTGTTGTTGTTTTTTCTGATTTTTTTATTGTGTGTGTTTTGGCCTCACACAAACTGTGGATGACAGATCACATTATAAATTTTATTTTTTGGTTATTGTTGTTGTTTTTTTTAATATTTTTTGTTGGCCGAAAATTATTTAATATTTCCAGCCCCGATGCTGGCCATGGCCAATTTCTTGTAATAGATATTTAAATACTTGTAGCTGGCATTATGATTAACACAAGAAATTGTAATTTTCTTTAAAAGGGAGAAAGTTAATGAAATCTGTTGAACATTAGAGAATAAATGGCCAGACTTCAGGGTGTAAATTGAATGAAAAAATATATAAAATAAAAGAAACACTCGAATTTCAATAGAGGTACTTTAATTTCCTCGTGATTTTAAAGTACGCCTAATGGTACTACTGGAAAAAATATGTTTATAAAATCCACGCCTGAAAAAAATATTTCTATAAAATCCACGCCTTATGGAACTACTTGAAAACATCTTTCCATCCAAATCATTCCAATATTAAATTTAAATTTGCAAGGATCTTTCAAACATCCATATATCAGTTTTATCCAAAACCCCCAAAAAAACCTCTCCAGCTTTCTCCCTCTCTCCACCAACAAAAGGATGTGGCCAATGTTGTTGTCTTAATTTAAGTTGTTTGACAACATGATGGTTGTTGTCAGGGCGGAAACTTTTAATATTTTTCTATGTATTCCTGCTGCTGCTTCTTCTTCATTTACAACAGAAAAAACCCACACTCATCCTTTCGTTCTTATAACATAACAACTGGTTTTTGCTTAAGGCATACTAGTAGATTCTGTTGTTCCTCTTCTTCCTTAACTTGTTTTTTGGTTATTTTTAGATTTTTGTGTTTTTTTCTGGTTGCACCACCAGTAAAGTAAGCCAAAGGCTGGCTTACTAACAAGGTTATGAAAATATTACAACAACAAAAAATGGCAGAGGAAAATATGTTAAAATTGCACTTCAACTGGCAGTCAGGCAGGCTAGTATTATATCATGACACATCCATTCACTTACACACACATTGTCATTAAGGATATATGTCTCATGTCCTTGTTGTAGTTTTTGTTTTTTACTATGGAAATATGGATAGATGTCGTAATGGCTGCTGAGTATTATGGCCAGACAAGTATCCATACATAGTATCCATTATGTTAGCAATAGTTTAAATTAGTCTTTTGTTTTTAATGTGTTGCCATGCTGGAGGG